CCAGGTAGGCGTATCGCCGTCGACGATGCGCTCGGCCGACGTTTTTTGCGCGCAGCACACATTGGTCTCCAAATCTGCAAATTCTGAAATGAAGAAAGCTCGACGGCCACCACTCAAAAAAACTTCGACATATGTTGGATGATGTGGCGCTTGTGTGTAAGACCTACAGCATCTAATTTTTATCAATGATGGACATGGACTGTACTCTCTTCCCTCACCTTTTTCTTCGCGTAACAGACAGAAACTGCACAGCTCAGCTTTGTATGGTCTGTAACAGTGGAAGGCGTGAAAAAATGGTCGCGTTTACAAAAATCAAGTATAGCGTGGTTCCTAGGCTGTATTTATACAAATTAGATTTGAGGATCATCCTTTCCATAGGATTTGCTAAAACATCTTATACAACGGATCGGGTTGATGGGGTTAATAGAGAGTACTTTGGACAAGACTTCCTCTTAAGAGAAATTTTTAGAATTCATAACTACGCGAAGTTTAGAGACCAACCTTGCTTCTCGAATAATACTGAGCTTTTGGTGGCTATTGTGGAGGTCTTGACAATCAATATTGCGCCCCCCATATTTACAATTAACGATTTTTTTTTTCCAATCCCTACAATCTGGATGAGCAGTTGAGTCTCAACTGCCAATAGACAGGACTGTCTAAGGAGGGCCATTTCAAATCTGTAGCCATTTCAAAAAAAGACCAGGGTGAACAAAACAAAGTCAGTGGTTGGGCGTTTCGACTTCAACCAAATTGGTAGACGAACATGAAGCTTGTTATCAAAGCTTCATGTGCGTCGGACCCCACAAGGGCCGTGGCAGATTGTCCACACCAGAAATGGAAGCCGACTTGACAATCATCCTCCGTCTGAAGATGCCCGTGTCCACACGTGTAATCGACAACGTGCAGCTGCGAATACTTTTTGACCGGGGGCCAATCTGTGCAGTCGCTTGTGGAAGCCCAGACTGCGGCTGGTGTGTCTGTTGCCAGCATTTGTGCTACAATGATGCGAGCGGACCCCAACTCATTTGTCACTCCCAAGGATATTACAAACACTCAAAATGCTGTGAGACGTCGTGGGATGTCCACGCATACAGTCATGGAGGCCCTTTTTCTCGGCTCTTACTGAGGAGGGATTTTTCTTTCGCTACTCTTTAAACGAAGAAACGCTGGAGGTGTGGTATCTCTTCTGGGCTCCCCACGGTGTTGGAGATTTGTTCAGGCGGCACCATGACGTCTTGGTCACGGACTGCACCTACAAAACTAATAAGTACATTATTCCGTTGCTCAACATCATAGCTGTGACTGGATTAAACACTGCCTTACCGGTAGGTCAGTGCTGGCTGCTTAGCGAAAACGAAGAAGACTACACATGGGTGTTGAACATGCTGCGTCTCTTTATGATAAAAAAAGACGTGGAAGAGCCCGATGAAGTTCTCACTGACAGATAGCAGGCTTGCATGAATGCAAATGACCATGTTCTCAAAGGAATTCCAGCAATGGTTTGCCGGTGGCACATGAACAAAAATGTAGCAGCTATGGCCCAGAAGCACCTCGGACAGGTGTCGGTTGTAGATCCGCTCACAGGAATCTTCTCTAAAGAAAATACGTGGGATGCAAACTCTTTCATGACTGCTATCTTCAAGACAGTCGATGCCGACACCGAGTCTGAGTTTGAAACGCTCCGAGCAAAAATGGAGGACTACAGTTTGTACCTGGGCGCATCTAGACACAACGTGGTGGAAATGCAAGGAGGGAATTGTCAAGGCGTGGACAGATAAATATCAACACTTTGGGGTTCGGGACACGTCGATTGTCGAAGGTACACATGCCAAATGTAAGTCGTGGCTCGGCAACAGTTGTGGAGACCTGTACACAGTGTTCAACAGTCTCTTGGAATGGTGGAAAGGAGCTATAGCAGATCTACGACTACTCTCGACACGCAACGCTGTCATCACGCCATTTCTTCTTTAGCCGAGCAGGTATGCTGCTGTGGTGAGGGCTGTCTCGATTCACGCTCTGATCTTGACAGAAGCCTTGTGGAGAGATGCGTTCAAGATTGTCTACAACCGACTGAATCGGACTTCATGTTCGGGGACCTTCAAGTCGATTCATGGGAGGCCTTGCTTGCATGATCTTATAGCTATCATAGAATCTAACGGTCGTCTTCGGCTTCTGCCTCAACACTTTGTAAAACACTGGTGGATCAATCGCTTTATCCCTGTCAGTCAAGTCCGACGCATATTGGAGGCTGCTTTCATTGTGACGACAACAAGAACAAGAGATTTAAGCGCACGATCTACGCATCGGGCCAACATGGGCACGCACAGTACGAGACGCGAAGCTACTTTCAGCGAGCGGATAGATCCTAATCATCCGGCTTCTCCTCCTGGCGCTTTACGCAGCAATGGTGTTCTGAACCATATAGTTATGCTGCCACCATTGCAGAACGTAGTACCAATGCAAGATCCTGACAATGCGTCGTATGAGCAGCCATACCTTCCGCCTCGTTGGTTTGAGACGGAAACGGAGTTGGCGTGGGACGGAAATACCCAACTGGGCCGGAAACCGCTGCTTTATAGTTGGACTTTGTAAGCGGTCAGAATGAAGCCAGATCTGGTCAGACTTTGTTTTGTTCACGCTGGTCTTTTTTTGAAATTGGCTGCAGATTTATAATGGCCCTCCTTAGACAATCCCTTAATAGACAATCCCCCAATAGACCTCCAAATTAGAAATAGAGCGCTTTATTAAGATTGTATTGTATTAAATTCAGAAAGTGGATGTGTGACATGCTAAGGTACTTGTCCTCCTGCCAAAAACCAAGAGAAGTGATTCGCCTGGTAACAGCCAATCAGATGCAGGGAATTAATTGGCTGCTTGTCCCCTGAGTGCGTGCCTGGATCACACGAATTCACTCTTGATTCAGACTCTGCTATTTATTCGCCAGAACCCCGTTGCCCGATTCAACATCTTGGGTCTCTCCATTTTGGCGTCGGCCACACTCCTAGGTCTCCTGGCACGTCTACTACGAGTAGTTGTTGCTCCACGGCGAAGTCCACACCGCCAGACTCTTAAATTGTAACTTTCGATGACCACAAATCAGTTTTTGGCTATTGAATCAGAAGCAGGATGACCAGCTCAAAGTTTTTCAATTGCTCGTGCCACAGTAAGGGCGCGTAAATATACGAGATGGTGCTATCGTGTACTCGATCGGTTAGATGCTTATCACAGAATACAGACCCTACTTATGTAAATATACGCTATTATTAATAGCATATCGTGCATGGTATTATTAATAATAGGCCATCAATATCATGCACGATACTGTAGACAACTTCTGGTTTCGAGGCTAAATGTTTACGACGGACAAACAAAGTAACGATGTGACTAACCATGCATTGACATACAGCATATCGAATCTATTTTCGTTATTTTGCAATTATCGTAAAGTGTTCGAGTCTGATTTCGCTATTTCGCAATTATCATAAAGTTTTCGGACGATAAACTGCATTAAACGCAAACAACTTTTTTACAAAGGATTTTTTATGGAGATTCTCTTGTTGTTAATGTTAATGTGCTTTTCCTGGGACACAACTTGAAGGAAATGATGGTACAACGTGTAAATTTTTTGTTAGTTATTGTTAAGTAGACATTAGGTGCCACGCCTTGAAAGCAGCGTTAGCCCCTGGGTCCACAGGGAAAACCCTCTTCCACATACGCACAAAAGACAGCATCTCCCCGGATCCGTCCTTGTTTACATTATCACACGAACTGGCGCTACACTTGAGTGTTTTGATACAGGAATGATTACACGATGCTGCGTGAACAACGCAAAATCACATGAATGTTGAGCAGAGTATCAAGAGCTGCCGTACATGTAGGATTTTCCTAAGAAGACCCTACAAGTTAATTCCGTTACGCAATAGGATTGGGGAAAACTTTGTGTCATGCCATGTGGAGAGTCGAAGGAATCGGTGAGCGGGTCGACTTTAATCGAACGGAGAATGAAATGGATGAGGTCTGCCTGCTACCCTGCCTAGCTATCACTACAGGACCTTGTCTAAATTAAGGGCATGCTGCACCATCGCGTTTCTTAAATCGTAGGATCCTCATGCTTCAGGATATAGTAGTATTTCCGTACAGGATACTCCTCCGTTCCCCAACATTATTTAACAAATCAACGACATTTTTTTTTAAATACTATGGTTTTGGATGCTTGTACATGCTGTACAAAAGTGCCATTGGTTGGGGGATAACTACCGGTACAAGTGTATGCTTACGGTGGACATTTGTAGTAACGAAGTGTGACTAATCATTGCATGTTTGTGCGATGAACGTGATACCAAGTGCCGGTAGGAGAACATCTGAGTTCTAAACGGTAGCTAGACTATTTGGCACCATGAACACAAATAATCTAGCTATTTATATTTTCTCTCCCGCTCTCATCTTTATTTTACAGCATGCGTCTTACAGCACAAAGCAAACGCCTTAATGTAGCACCCGAGCTTTTTAGAGCTGGGATTTAATCAAGAGCTAATGTACGTGTAGATACAGTCTATAAGGCAAAGGATCCAAAGATGTGTTGCTGCTGCTTTTCCACGACGATGCAGCGCTAGCTATTTCAATTAGCTAACTCCTTACACGTACAAGAGTTCACGGAAATCGTTCTTCCATTTTTTAATTCTCTGACATCTACCAAGTTCATTTTCTTCTTCTTCACAAGCAGGATGCGACTTCGCTACTCCGTTGCTTTGGCAATGGTAGTCATTGGGGCTTCCTACGCTTCCAACACTACCTCGAAAAGCTACTTGAATGGATGTTATCCATGCTCAGAGTACACATTCTCGGAAGTAACTGGCGCTACCGATCAAAACGCGCAGTGTGCTGTGTACGCTGCACCGTTGTGCTATCCTGGAATCTGTAAAACTCCAGAAGGTGTCAACTCAAAAGTTGATATATTTGTGAAACGTTTACCTGCGACGGCTGCCGACCCCGACTCTGCCATGAACGTCTGGCTGCTTCAAGGAGGACCTGGAGCTTCGTCAACTGATCGTAAGTGATTTCGTCTGTACGTCCTCTTCAGATTATTGTGATTGATTTACTAATATATAAGTGAACCCCTGATGTCATAGTGGAGTCCACGATGGTGACTCTTCACTCCGAGTTAAATGGAACTACGAACGTCTACACGATGGATCACCGAGGTACAGGGCGAAGCACCAGGCTTGATTGTGTTGCGTCACAAGCAACCACGACAGGCTCTCCCTGGGGTGATGAGATTGATCCGTCGGAAGTGCCTGCATGCGCGAAAGACCTGCATACCAAATATGGTGATCTGGCATCCTTCTCTGTGACCACAGCTGCAACTGACCTCGTAACGTTCATTTCTAAATTCACCAATGGAGCTGCTACCATCGTGTATGGCATCAGCTATGGCACAATGCTTGCGGAAAGACTGATGCATCTGTTCCCTCCCGAGGTAACGGGATATGTGCTAGATGGCGTCGTTCCAACTTCTGGCGCTCGTTCTGACGAGTTCTACTATATGACGATGTCGGACACTAGATTTGGTGACAGCGTTATCAGATTCGGGCGTTCGGACTCTGATTCCACCTCTTGTTTATCGACGCCAGCGTTGCGCTCCTGACGACTTGGATGTTCTGAATAACTTCTTCTCGGCTATCACCTATAGCGAGAAAACTACAGCACAGGACAGCGCGTATACGTCGACGCTTCTGCAGAGTCTTATCGTGTACTCTGAAATGATGGAAACACCGCTGCCATCCATGTCGGAGTTGAAGGACAGATTCACGAATGTGAAAATGAGCAGTGGCAGCGGGGTTTACGAAACGCTTCCTCAGTACTGCGCCTTCTCAAAAGACAAGTCGGCGTCATGTGAAGAGATCAACGTGGGTAACTACGAATCTGACGGCATCGTGTACAAGCGTGACCAGTACTGGAACAAGACTGCTACGATTCCAAATCAAGCTAGCGTACTGGTGCTAAGTGGTAAGCTGGACCCTCAGACTCCCCACAAAAACGCTGCGAGCTTGTTTAAATATCTGCAAGGCACGAATAAGGAAATGGTTGCCTTTGATTTTGCAACACACGGCACAAATGTATCGACCCAGATGGTTGCAGGAAACCCGCTGGGTGAAGCCTGCGGAATGAAGGAGTTGGCGTCGTATGTTCGAGTTGGTGGGGACCTCACCCGCCTGAACAAATCATGTGTGAAGGAAATGCCTGCCTTTAATCTGGCCACCGGAATATTACCTTCAAAGTTTCTTCAGTACAGATGATGCCTACGACGGCGCGTACAATTTAAACCTGACATCATCTGCGTAGATGAAAAGTGGTCAACCATACGCAAACAGTACCTTCTATGGGTTTTCAATGGTAGGATGTCCTTGGAGTAGCTTACATACTGGCAAAATATTTCTTCAATCAGCTTTTGCACGATCAGGATTGAAAGTAGAATGGAATTGCATCAAACTTTTCAAGTAACGTTACGTCAGCATCTCTTAGTACTACTCCTGTAGTATGATACGATAGTAGTGCTTTATCGACGAGTGAAACGTTTAAAATACTGTAGTAAAATATAGGCTTGTTTGAAGTATATCTGCTCAGTTTCGAGAAAACCCCAGGCAGCTTTTGGGGCGCTCCTGTAGCTATAAATCATAGCTGTCTTCAAGCTTTCTACGATGAATCTTTCTTGGGTTGTGCTTCAGAAGGATTGCCATGTCAGTGCGCTCGTTGTCCGTACTTGTCTGTCTTAGGCTCGATCTTATTGTGCATTTCAATGCTTTTGTCCTTATTACTTAGCCTGGTGCTCGATTTATAATAAAAAGAGGTCGTTTTATTTAATCGAGGTCTATAAAAAGTACAAATCGATCTTGCAAGACTGGTTAATAAATCGAGCTTCGGCAGCCAAATCGACTGTTCGGGGTCGATCAACCGACCCTTTTTGCCGTTTTGAAAAGGTAATTCGATCATAAATAAAACAAAATTGATGCCTGCGTCTTCCCATCTCATTTTTACGCGTGATTTTATGCTCCGACCATGCTCGATCTAGGCTATAAAACTGATGGACATTCCATTGGAAAGCACAATATATCAGCCCACAATAGCGGGATGGGATGTCTGCAATTTCGAGAATCCGCATGACTTTTAACCCGGTGTTATAGAAAGGTCATCATTTGAGCGAGTCATACATGATAGATCAGGGTAGGCTGCCTGGTAGGCGTGGCAAGCACTTCAGTCGGCGAGGGTATGGACCGCATTCTCGCGCTCAGCGTGTGCACGCGAGCGCCAGCTTCTTTTCCCTTTTGCTGATTTTCTTTTGGCTCAGTCCAACCAACTTAAATGAATAGGAACAATTAGGAACAAAAGGAACAGTTCTGAACGTTCAGATCAATTGGAACAAAAGGAACGTTCAGAACAAGGGTTGTTCTAAACCAGCACTACCCCTCACTAGTTCAGGAGGAATATAATGTGTATTTGTCTGTCGACGTCGACACGAGTGAGACAATTACCTCGGGCCTATATCATCGTCCATGACTCCTACAGAAGCGATTAGGGGGTTTCAGACATCATTTTTTTCGCTCAAAAATCTCGCAAAAAATGACTTTGACAGGAAGCTGAAAAATGATTGGCCAACTCTGACACCTCGATTTTCCTCAAGCTGCACGTTTTGTATTTGACGGCGACCGCTGACCCACGTTAAAGAAAGGGGAAGAGTACAAGCTTCGCGAGAGCTAGCAGCAGAAGTTCCTTCTTTCTCCAACCCCAGGCCGTCGGACGGCCCGTCACACGGGTCACAGCATCACGTGACCTTGGTAATAGCATCAATTGTCATGAATGAGCTCCATTTTAACTCACTACTGATACAAACGTAAATGAGTTTGTGTAGACACCACTACCACCAAGTGAAGGTTATAGAATCGAGGATCTGGACTGTAGTGGATGCTGTAGTAGCCGGAGCGTCAGAAGATATGCCTGAAACGGAGAAAAGTAAGGTTTCCAGTGCCATATCAAGTGCCCTGTTCCAGGAAGCTTTGCTGGCAGAGCTGGAAGACAGCGACAGTGATTTAATGAGCCATTCGGACGCAGAGGGCAGCCCACAAGATGGCAGATCTAGTGAGAGCGATAAAGAAGTCGATGAGCTAGCAGACCTATATACTGGTGTTACCCAGACACGATACATGGAGTCTCGCCAAAAGATACCACGATCGACGGCACATCGATATGCATCGCGAAAAAGAGTTTCGCCAGTCGGTTCGTGTAGATCCTGCAACATTCGACTACCTTATTAGCTTTATCGTGGACGACCCGATCTTTTACAACGGCAGTGAAAACCCACAGACTGACATCGCCATTCAGCTTGCTGTTACGTTGGAATGGTGTGGAACATTTAAAAATGGAAATACATGTGGGAGACTTGCTCGCTCGTACGGGTTCGGGGCTGGGACTATATCGGAGTTCGTTCAACGGGCTCGAAAATCTCTACTTCGTTTCTACTCCCGCTTTGTAGCGTGGCCTTCTACAACAAAGCGAACAACCTCTTCTGCTTTCCATAGTACGCGATACGGCCTAAGTGGTGCTATCGGATTCGTCGATGGAACTTACGTAAATTTTTCACAGAAGCCCCACGTTGATGGTCATCTTTTTTTCACACGAAAAAAGCGCTATGGACTGAATGTTCAGATCTTCTGCGATGAAGACCAGCGCATCCTGCATGCACACACGGGCTGGCCAGGGTCGTGCGGCGACGCCTTGGTGTTTTCTCACACTCAAGTCAGCAAGAATTCGGAGCGATATTTTGCCATCGGTGAATATCTGATTGGTGACAGCGGCTATGCCTTATCTGAGCGCCTTATTACACCATACAAGATGCCTCGGGCCGCACAGTCCGACAACGCGCGGTTCAATACGATTGTGTCCAGTGCACGAGTGGTAAACGAGAACTGCATTGGGGCACTAAAGAACCGATGGGCTTCTCTATATGGAGTGCGGACGCAGATTAAGGTCGCAGAAGACTTTGCCAAAGTCAACAACCATATCTTGTTATGTGTACTGCTTCACAACGTTACACTGCAAATGAAGGACCCATGGACAGAGGAGGATCGCGAGGACTTTTCCGCTGCTGAAGGTGAAAGTGACGATGAAGATGACGATGGGTGTTGCATTGACACACCGCCAGCATCACGAAATGCTGAAAACAAACGGGAAATGATTAAGCGCCGAGTTTTAGGAAATTATTAAGTGCTAGCTCTTTGGTATTCCGGATGCTAACACTGCTGGAAGAATGAAAACGCAGGGTTCCTTTCAGTCGTTTCGGGAGGCTGTAGCATTGGTCTTGTTTGTTGAAGTTGTGTCAGGAAAGAAAGCTGCAACAATCGTCTGCACTTCATCGAGTGATTTTCCAGTTTTGAGAAGCTCAAGAGCCATGGTCTGTCGGGATTGAACTTGCTGAATTTCAGTTTGTTTTTCCAGCTCCTTCACTCGTGCTTCTCGCTCATATATTTTTTCAAGACGCTCCTCCAGCAGCATTTTCTCTTTCCATTGCATCTGCACCTTAAGTTTCTTCTTGTTAAAGGCTTGGCGCTTCTTGGATGCCTCTGTGTAAACGCTACCGAAGTCATTGCGCTTGTAGCACATGGCTTTGTCGACTCCTTTTGTCTCTGCAGCCGTGGTTGCCTTCGTTTTTGCGGCGCTTTTGAAAGTCTTCGTTGCCGGAGTGGACTTCTTTGCAGTTGGCTTCGCTATCGTGGCCATAGTAGGCTGTTGAGAGGTGTGATCCTGTTCTGTGGTGCTTATCAAATTGAGTGGTCGGGATGCTGCACTCTTCTGAGCGTTTGGGCTCACATTCTCCTGGTCGTAGCCGGCATCATTCACGGTACTATTTTGACTAGAAGTCATGCTGTAACACCGATCGATATTTGTTTTGTCAGAGATATTTTCTCGCACGGATAACCAATCAGCGTCGTCGTACGATGGCTCGCTCATCTCTGAAGGGGGTGCGACATTAGACTTTGCGCCGAAGAGCGCATCAATTCGATGAAAGCATGGGCAACTTTCCTCTGCAAGATCATAGACCGTCATTCCGTTTGCAACCATCTCTTCTGTGAGCCCAAATTCCGTCTGGTTATCCAGTTTGTACCGTGCCGCACGATAGCGACGAAAGATGGAGTCCCAGCGACTTTGGCACTGCTTCGCCTCCCACGCAGCGGCAAGCTTTTGGTCAAAAAATAGTTCCGCTCTCATGTAATTCACCGTAGCGGTGTGCACGAACTCGGCCATGCTGCGGAACCCAGCGATCTTGGTTGTGCCTCCACCATGCGCCATTTTTTTTCCACTTGTCGAGTTCCCTGCTATGATGTTGAAATTGGCAGAAATTTCCAGCCACGATACCATAGCAGCATCTTGATACGGTGTTGTGTGGTATCCAGTACCTGTGTCGTCCTCTCCTTGTTGGAAACGTGTAAGAGAGACTCGGTGTGTCTCCCCCTGTTGCCCAAAAGGCAGTGTATTCTTATGTTTCTGCTGCCGTTTAGGAGCCATCTTGATTCAGTGCCTTGATCTCCAAGAACTACACGCAAAGATACTCAGCACTTGATAGAGTTCAGCTAAATTCATTGACAAACCTGTGGTATAACCTTGCGTACTGTATACCGTCGAGCAGGAAGAGGACTCTATACGGACTGTGCGCGGACGGTGGAGAGATCCTGGCAGGAAAGCCTGCACTTGACGTTTCCGTGTCGAATTCCGCACTGACCGAATTGGTGCGTGTCTCCCTTCAAGATGAATAAACCTTATTTATAGCGTTCTGTTTTATAAAAGTCTATGTAAAAGGTTTGAAAATGATAAGGCTTTTCAACGATGACAGGCAAGCGATGAGCTGGTCCAGGGTTATTTTTTGCCTCATCGCTCGAAAACGATGAGACAGGAAATGAGACAAACTGCTATGATGTCTGAAACCCCCTATTACATCAACTCTGTAAATGGGTACCTTTCTCGAAAAATAGAGAGAAGAAGCTTCGGTGTACCCATACACGTATTGACATTTTCCCTTTCAAATACTGTAGATACTAAACTTTTCAAAGCAGGTCGCTCTCACGTCTATGTCGAGGCATTTGACGCCGATCTTACACGGTACTATTGCTCGTTTCGATTTGGTGGGTGGAGTGTACAAATGTTACTATCTAGTCAAAGTACATACGTCCACGCTCACGTGGTCGCCATGGACACTGCGAGGGACTTGGCGAGTAAGTTGTAGCAACGCCATTCAGAGCTTCGAACAACCCAAGCTTTGTTCGATAGCGTCTACAACCTTGCCCCTCATTTAACTGC